AAATAATTCTGCTAAGGCTGAACTTAGCAAATAAACCAATAAAGTATTTTTAATACCACACAATGTCTAGTTCTAAACCCTGAACCTATACAACACGTTCTCTTTCATGAATTCCCTTTATCACTGTCAAATGCAGAGAGAGACATTTCCTTACCTTGCCAGACAAAATAAATACAAGTAATAAGTATAGAGGTTATGTCTTTGTTCTAACCTTAAAATATTTCCCTAAAAAGCAAAGAGTTTCTGGACAGCCAAACAGCGGGTAAAGGATCATGCTGTTATATTACTTTCACATTTGGCTTTGTGATAATGCTGTACAGCATGCACTTAACATGACAGGTTTTGGACTGTCCTGCTTCGCATACTGATTTATTTTAGGAATAAATAATGTACCTATCAGGCAGGCAGAAGTAGCCAGAGGCAATTTAATTGTGCCTCCCTGGAATCTCAGGAAAATCCCACTGGGTGTTTACTGAACTGGTCTACTTGCTGCTACATCCAGACCTGGGCCTGTGCTGTGGAGCTGGGATCCTGTGCCAACCGTTCCCTCCATGCTGGGTCTGTCATGCCAGAGCTTGCTGCGGGCCCATTCTAAAGACAGTAAAAAGCTGTACAAGTGCTTACATACATACACCCATCACCAACCGTGGCTTGAGATACCAGCATCCTTCTGAGGGCTGTAACGTACATTTACCCACATGTGCTTATGCGCACACGTGCGTGTTACCCCCATAGGTGCACCATGGCATTCCTAAACATTGGGCTGCTGCAGGGAGATGCTGTTAAGGTCCTTCCCCTAACTACCCTGCACTGAGGTGGAGAAGAGGGAGGATTTCCTCTAGGATAACCTTAGAGCTCTCTACCAGAGACCAGTAAAGCTTGTATCTGGCACCGGAAAAACTCCCAGCACGAGACCTCACCACTGGGCACTGCTAATAGGTGCAACCTTTTTTGCACCCGTTTTTAAAGCATTTTAAGATAACAATTTCTCACCTTTGGAATCTTAGGAAATTGATTCATCCCAGTCTCAAATAAAGCATGGAACTTAGCAGGTAAAAAAAAGCTTTTAAATGTAAACACAATTTTTTTTCAAAATTCTCTAGGTTTTTCTCTGGATTTCTGTAAGATATGTGACACATTCAGTGTACGTGCTGTAGGCTAAAACAAATGCCTCACTGGCATTTGTACAGATGGCCTGTATAAATCCTGCAGAAGGCACACTACCACCCTCCCAAAAATCTCTTGTTTTTTCTCTCTTATAAGTAGGTGTGGTTGCATTCATATCTATACATATGTATAGACACACATGTACACGTGTGTATACATATACAGAGAAATGAGAGAGGACTCACTCCTGAAAGAGCAGATTATGTATGCCGGGGGTGGGGTGGGGTATTTTTGCATTTATACACATATATGTATATGTATGTACATATATATAGACAGATACACAGACATATATATATCTGTATACATACAAACACATATGAAAGTGTAAATACCTACACACACATACATACATGATTTGCTCTTCAGGAGTCAATCCACTCATTTCTGTAGATAAACAGAGCACAACAGTAGATTAGAAAAAGTAATGTTTAAATAAAATAGTTGTACTCTTTCAACTACATAAAGTTAATGTCACTTGTCTGCTAGCTCTATTTGCCTCTGTTATGAAAATTAATCTGGTCCTAAGGACTCCCTTGCTGTAATGTAAAATGCTTGCCTCTCGGAAAAGAATAGGAGGATGTTCTATAAACCACAAAGCTGGTGCAGTGTAGACAATATCAACACTGAATGTGACAGAGACTGAACTCAGAGCTAAGGAAGTAAAAAGAAATATATTAATCATTGATAAAATTTACATAAAAAAATAAAAATAAGCAAAAGATCAATCATTTTGATTCCAGGGGGACTATTAAAATGTGGAGAAAACGAGTCTTAGAGAACGCTCCAATAAAAAAGAATACTGAAGATACTCTATATACAATACAACAAACTGCTTTGCTTCCCCACTGAGGATGTTAAAATCTTCAATTGTTGCTAGGTAATCTTGCCTATGAAATAATTGCCCTAACCAAGAAGTCATGTGCAGTAATACTTAATAACAACAAAAAGCAGAACAAAAGCAAGTTGACATTTGGATAAGATATTCAAAAGTTTTTCTAGAAGGGAAAATGCATCAGAATAACTATTTTCAAATATACTCTGTTTTAACTATTCCCACACCAGTCTTGAAACAAAAATCACTTAATTCTGGGACTCTCTGTGTGCTTTCAAGGCAGAGCTCCTTTCTTGTAATAAATTTACTTCAATCCAGAATCTAGGGACTACCCATAGAGTTTTTCTGTAACAGCTTCCAGTAAATTTTTCTGTGAACAGAAATTTTACATCAGGTATTTTTATGAAAAATGTTATGAAATGTACTCAGGAAGATTTCTGTGTAAGTGACACAAAACATAGTAAATTCAAACATAGTTACAGCTTTAAACCAGTCTTCTGCTAACTGGCAGTCTAGCTTTGGTTCTATCTTGGACATCTCCAATTCTGCCATTCTATGGTAGATGGTGATTATCTCATAAATACTCAATAGAATGAGCTTAAGCACCTGCTTAAGCACTTTGCTAATACCTGGCTTCAGCTAGCAAATTGAAGCAATAAGCAATCACTGTTATGATATCGACTGCATTTTGCCATGCTGTTTTGTACCCTGATTCCACAATATTTTGATATCCAACCCTCACTAATTGGCTAAGATTAAGATATCACAACTGGGCAGTCCTATTCAGGATTCAGAAAAAGACAATATAAGAGAAAAGATGCTTTGTGGGACAGTCTTTAATATATTTCACTATTTCTCATGCTCTTTAAACATACCACAAAGCAGGATATTTTTCAAACTTTTTCAATTCTACCAGTACAGCTTTCCAGCTGAAATTTTTTTTCTCCCTTACAGAAACATCAGAAGATTCTCCTCTGTTGTGGAGGTGATGACTCTTCTCCTAATATTGCTCCTCAGTTTATTGTGTCCCCTCTATAATTTGATTTCTACAGTTATCTACCTTTCTGTGACAATCAAGGGTTTCCAATTGTCTTCTGTCTTTATGGCCCATGATTCTATTAAGTAAAATAGAGTCTTTCCATGAATTGTTGGTCAATTAGTTCCATCTTAAGGATAGCTGGCATGAGTGGATTTTTTCCCCTTTTTGGAACAAGGTGATACAATTTGGTTATGTTTATATGCGTTTTTCTGCTGAGATCATTGAGGCCCAGAATTCATTCTAGGGACCTTAAAGCCTGATTGGCCTGTACAACCTAGGTCATTTAATGGTGATAAGGGAGAGTTTTTAATTACCAAAATTCAAGGTATGAGTTTCATTGCCAAGACCAAAAATAGCACAGAGTCATCCTCCCTGTATCTTCCATAGTTGGCATCAAGAGTACTGAGGAAAAGGCAAAGTATGACTTTGGAAAGTATAGGAAGGCATGCGACATCTTTATTTTAAATCATTTTGTGTTATTTAAGCAAAATGAGATTGAAAATATCTCATGGATATAAGGTCCCGTACCGTTCCACACCTTCTCCAAACCCTGGGCCATATACAGGTTGCAAACGTGGAACTGGAAACTTGCCTGTTTCAGAGCCATGTTACCAACTTCCATTAGAGCCTTGACAAAGTCATGTGTTAACTGCCCTGCCTTGCCTTGTCTGCAAAATGGGAACAATGGTGTTCACTGGCCCATTTAACAAGACCACTGTAAAATTTACTTACTTAATGTCTATGAAGAGACTAAAAACAGAAACTAGAAGGGCTAGGAGAATAGTGAGCTTCATTCAGCATTACTTTATTTGGGCAGCCAGCTGGCTGATTCCTAGGGTGGCAGTAAGAGGTTGACCCATTTGGCAAAAGCTAATGTTATTTATATTTGTCTTACACTGAAAATTAATGTCCCTGTGGCTTAGGTTTCAGGCTAAGCAACTTGTATTCCATATCACAAAGCCAGAAAACACCAGCACCACCAGTTCTTCACATCTCTAGGTAAGAGCAAATGCAGAAGCCATTGGGGGGGGGAGCGGAAGGGAACTGGGGGGAAGGCAATACAGAAAGAAATATTTCAGGAGATGCAAAGCTATCGTTTGGATAGGACCCCTATGACCTCATGACATCACATGGGGTATGTTAAATTAGATGGTCTAAATAAGACAACACATTAACAGACTAAGCACTGTTTTGGAAGCCACAGAGCTCTGAATCCAGTTCTTCTACTTACTAACTGGGTGGCCTGTGCAAGAAATTTCATCTTTTTGGGTCCACCTTTTCAATCTATAAAAGGGAACTATAACTACCTCATGAGACCTGGGCAGTACCACTGGGTAATGTTTGTATAAAACTTAAAAGGGAAAAAAAAAAAAAAAGTGCATGTTGCGTAACTGCTATTGGCTTTATTAACTTAAATCACCAGGCAGCTGTCCCTCAGCTAGTCAAGTTCATTTTTAATCTCTGACATCTCTGTCACTGCTTTCACAAAGAAAGGCTCACTGTTTCACTGCGTGCCCAGTTTTACTGTTATCTGGATGCTTCCTCCAATATAAAAATTAACATACAATTAATAGAAAATGCCAGTGTGATGACAAAAGTTCCATCTTTTACTCTAATTAAACCATCTTTTACTCTAATTAAACCCATTTTACCTGTGTTACATAGGTGACATCTATCTATCTAGAGCTCTATCTGGAGATACCTGGAGATCCAGATATCAATCTGGATATCTTGGTATAATCTCCAAGGATCTCACAGGGCAAGCAGTTAAAGAACAGCTGTGAAAACATCCAGAGCATTTTACAATTGTACTGAGACCTTGGCACGCTTTACAAACATGAAGAGTAGTATTCGCACAGGTGGGGAAACTGAGGCACAGCTAAAGTAAGTGACCTGGCCACAGCTGCGTGGAGGGTTAGTGGCAGAGGGGGGAGAGGGCAGCTCCCGCATCTGGCGAAGTAGGCGTCCAGGAGGAAGCTGTTCCAGACGCAGCGCAGCCCCTCCGAGGTCAGCATCCTCCGCCACTCACCGCGCCCCGACTTAGACCGGCTGAGAAACAGCACCATGTGCTTCAGGAGGATCACGGAGTCGTACAGCGCAAGGAAGAGGCAATTGGAGAAAAAGACCGGCAAGATCTGAAGCGTGATCAGCAAATCCACACTTAGCAGACCCATCTTCCTCGCTGCTTCTCTTCAGCCCGATGCCTTCAGCTCCTTTTTTTGCTCTGTACCCTCATTTAAAAAAGTAAAGTAAAAAGCTTTTCAAAAGCCTCGTTGCACTCTCTCCCAGCCGTTCTCTTTAAAATGAGCAGAGATAGTTAAATACGAGCAGGCTGGTTAAAACCATAACGGCGTGATACTCATTCAACTCGGAGCTGCTTATTTTTCAGAAACTAAGATGTTAATAAAAATTCTTCCCTTAACCAGGAGACCTGATTTTGTTGAAGAGAGAGGCAGCTGTGTTTCCAGTTCCCTGCAGTTACAAAATTTAAGCTGAGACTGTTAATTGTTAACTTCCCTGCACTATCCCATTGTTTCTCAGCTATTTAAGCACTGAACAGAGCTCTCATTTCTGTGGCACTAAAGCTAGCTACCAGGTGCAACAATACTTTTTTTTAAAAAAGGTTTATGTACATAAACTTTCTGTTCCTTCCTCCCTCCCTCCCTCCCTCTCTCCCTTTCCCTCTCTCCCTCCTCTCCACCCCCCCGCCTCTCCCTATTCCTGCCTTCCTCCTCTCCCTCGCTATCTGCCTATGGTGCAAAGTGCTTTCCCCTCTGGAGTCCTAGCTTGCTTCCCTGAAGCCTTTTATACATTCCCTAGCTAATTGCTGCAATAGAGAAATGAAACCCTAATCTTAGTAAAGATCTTGACGTCAATGTAAAAGAGGGCTTTACTTTGGCCAGGACTGCAGTGAATAGAAAAATGAAATTCTCAAAACTTTTTTTTTTTTTTTTTTTTTAAGAGAGAGGAGAAAAAAAAAAAAAAGACACACAGACAGCAAGGGTGGAACTTTGCTTTGCTTTGAAAAGGAAAAAGAAAAAAACCAATATGCCTCTGACTGCTTTTACGAAATGCTTTCAAATTTTGGAAAAAGTATTTTCCAAAATCATAAAGTCATAACAAGGAAGGTGACACAGCAATGCAGGCTTCTGTTGTCGATATTTTTTTTTTCTCGTGGCTGTTTTTTTTTCCCTTTGCCCTTTTGTCTTTTCCAGGAAGGTGTGTGAGTTAATGCATCCCGAGAAAAGGCACATTTCTGTACATTTTCCTCCCACCTCCACGAAGTACAACAGGTACAGTGTTTAATTATCTTTTGTTGCCTTCTTGGTATTTAAGGAAACACAAGTAAACACCCAGCACTGACTTCATCTACTGATGTGTAAGAGAAGAAGATAAGAAAGAGAGGAAAAAGGTTTTGAAAGATTGGGGGTTTTTAAGCTGAAGTTCCCTGCTTAAAGATAATATGTTAATCAACTGAGCTTCAAGGACTTTAATATTCCCTATGCTAACTATTTACATCCACTAGTCTAATAAGGATAACTAAATTTTGGTTAAAAGCTTATAAAAGAAACCAGAAAGAAAGAAGTTTCCTCTGGCAGAGCCATGTGTGCTTTAACAACCACAAGCATCCCCTGCAGCCCCATGCTGAAGGTTTGCTTTGTTCAGTTGCACTTCTCTTTGTTTCACCTTTTTAGTCTGCTATTTAGTCCTTTTTCCACATGATTTTTTTTTTTTTTTGGTGCAGTAGACACATTTTGTTTGGGTTTGGGTTTGGTTTTTTTTAGCACGGTTCTAACTTCCTTAGGTAAATATTTCATGTATTTCATGTTGCAGACATCCATAATTTTGTTTTTGAGTGGATGTCTTCCCTATGTGCTTATGTAGGCTCTCCTCATCAGATGCATTTCATTCCCAGAGATGCCAGGATGATATCTAACCTCTGTCAACTCACATCCTTGACGAGCAGTACAAGCTTCCTTCATTAATATATCTTAGTCTTCATCAGTCATCACTACCCTTTCACTGCTAGCAACTGCAGAAGGTAAATACCATCAATCTTCCCTACTCTGGGGTCTTTCATTTTCAGATATTGTAACATCACTTGGGCTGCCATTATACTAGGATGACCACCCCACATCTAGTCTTGGGCTCACCAAAGAAAAGTTTATTTAGGTAGCATAATATCAGGCATTTGCAAAAGATATCACCCAGACAGGATATCTTCCAGCAAATATTTACTCAAAGAGATAACTTTAAAAGGTTACGCGCATTAAACAAGTGACCTTCTGCATTACTAGCATAAACAAAAAAAAAGAGGGACTGAGTTTCTTTTTCAAACCATAACAACTTTTAAGTCAAAATGTTGGTGATGACAGTGTTCTGTTGCCATAGAAAGGATTGCAACCTCACAGATCTGGCTTTATTACTAAAACTTGCAAAAACACGTTATAAGCAGGCATTTATATATCCCCACACAGGGATGAGTCAGCGTGCTCATATCATGTGAGCGCAACACAAGAACAAGGGTCCCCAGAGCTGCTAAACTAGCTTACTGTCTGACCTCAGGCAAGCATATGTAATCACTTGATTACAAGCACTCTTAAGCCTAGATTACTCTTCTGTAGATCCACCACTAAAACATACATGATTCCATCTGGGAAGGTGGCCTTTCTTTATTTTGGGAAGGTTTGTTAAAAGGCAGGCCTGGAGATTGTTGATGACGCCGCCAGATGAATCATCAGCCATTGTTTCTGAGAACAGTTTGCAAACAGCTCTGAGGACAGTCCAGCTCAGGCTCTTCCTGTTCCGCGGAGGTAAAGTCAGGCAAGAACCTTTGCTGGGAACACAATGTATTCTGGGTTCCTGTGAAACAACTGCCCCTACCCACAACGTGCTCCATGGGTGAAGAGGTTGTTTGTAAGACAGCTGGAGACCAGACAGCTACGGAGCTTTGAAGTGCATTGGAAGCTGAGCAGGAAGCCCATGAAGCACTAGTGTTAGATGGTATTTCATATTTACTACATCACCTTCCTTGCCTATAAGGCAGACTGTGTGTATAGAGTTAAACAGAACAACCTCACATTGTGTGTTTGAGAGCTTCAGTCAAGAGATGTTGGTAACTACCTAACCCAACCATAAAGACAAAAATCTTTTGATGAAATAAAAATGTAAAAAGACAGTTTTTGCCATTGCTGTCTTCAGAAGCACTCTGGCCCTGCAGGGCACAAGCCCTGCTTCTCAGCTTGACAGTCAGAGTACAACAGCCCTCAACAGAGAAGGAAAGCGTAGTAACCCCTGCTTCTTCTTGTTGATAGCACTTCTCTCATCGGCTGAAACAATTCATCCCTGTGTTTATTTCTCTCAAACATGAAAAATACAAGGGAAACCACTGTTTTCATCTTTTGTGAAAGACGAGTATCTGCAGCATAACCTGTGTTGAAGCCAACAGTCTCTTGTTATTTCCCTGCAGACCTTCATGGAGCAAAGAAGGAAAGGCCAGATCTTTCAGATCTCAAGGCACTGAGAGAGCCTTTACACTCTTGAAGGAAAACTGGATGAATTTGATACATGAGGAAGAATTACGCATGAAAGAACTGAGATAGGGTTCAGCTAAAGCTCATTTCAGTTACCTGCTCTGCCATACCTTCCTATATAATTTGGGCACAGCCCTACAATGTACCTCAGTTCTCCATCAGCAAAAGAAAATAAAAGTCCTCCCATAATCTAAGGAGCAGTCAGGTTCAGTAATGGGAAATTAAACATATCATCCATAATTTGTCAAGGTGGAATGAGCAAAGCCAACAACATTAAAGCATTCACTGTTACTAGACCTTGTATGTGGCTAAAGTCAACAGTATCGGTATAGATGTTCATATTCTGTAATGTTTATAGAAATCAGTGCCATCAAAACCATATCCATGCATAGCTTCATGTTTCTTCCCAGTTTCAACCACAGTAGCATGAAGATCAGGACACGGGCAGCTAGTAAGTTCGTTTACTGCAACTCTCTTGATAACTGTGCCTAGACACAGGAAATTCGAGGTGGAGTTACTACTGCTCAGGCCACTTTCTCTGATCTCATTTTATAGTGGATCCATACTAGATTTCTGCATGTCACTTGGTTGTGTAGGTCTTTACTTGTCTGTGGCTGAACTACCTGTGTAAGCTGCCACAACACTCAATCGCATTGTACCTAGGTACCTAAACGCAAGACCCTAGAGCCCCAAACAAGCAGACTGATTGATATTTTGGTTACAGAGCCTTATTTTCTCAGCCTAAGCAAGACCATTTTGAATGCAGTTACTCTTCGCAACGCAGCTGGGAAAGGGTACCTCACCATGACAGGCAAGCAAGGCTGCTGCTCCAGTCCTACCCCCAGGAGGTTCATGGGAGAGATGATCCCAAAGGATTCAGCACAACCTGTGTGCCTGCCTTGCTGCTTCTCACTGCTTTCACTGCCAAAAACAAAGAATGAAGCTTTTTGTTTGAGAGCTAGTTAGTGTGTCCATGAGCTTATCCCTGGAGAATTGCACAGCTGCAGAGTGATATGGTTAGAGATGGGGAGGAGAAAGTTTAGCTTAGCTTTGCCTCCCTGGCCCTGGGCAAAACTTGTTTATTACAGCCAAACAAGAATTTGTACCTCTCATAAAACTGCATTTTTTTCTCTTTGTCAAAAGAGAAAAATATCCCCCTTCTCTCAGCAACAATTCCCTCACTTAAAATGTCATGGAGCGTTGACTGGCTATTTCCACTTTTTTAATTAGGATCAGCAGCATATTTTTTTAAAGAAATAATATTTTCAATGAAAAATAAAATTTTTCAGGCAAGTCTCAGTGATACCTGGATGGATTACCCACAGTATGGATTCACCAGGCCCTGCCTTCCTCCGTCACTCCTGGCCGCAGCACCACGTCTGAATGGAGCAACGTTCATCCCGCTGGCACCCAGCCCCATTCTGCCTCCTTAAAGCTGCCTCTGTTCTCTACAGGAATCTGCTTACCAGCGTTTCAAAGGTGAGTGCACTAAATATATCCTTACTGCCTAATTTATTTACCTTTTGTATCTGCCCTGGTTTTTGTTTTATTTTGGTTATTCTGCCACTGCCATTATGCTGCATAACTGAAAGTTGATTATTCTGTGAAACTGGCGGCTGTGAGAGATGCCAATTTTATACCCAGGAAGACCCAATTCCTCAAATTTTTCTGCAGTGGGGCTGAGTGCAGGTAGTGAGAATGCAAACTGCCCACAGGAACAGCTTTCCATGGCAATTCGGAGAGGAGTCCCTGGGGCAGGAAAAGGAAGCCAGCCTCACTGCCCGCTCAGTCCACA